TCCAACCCCTCCAGGGAGGCCCTGCCAGAGGGAGAAGGGTATCGGAATACCATTCTATGTACAACAACGTTTCCTGCACCTCCCACACTTCCAGGGAGGCCCCGCCAAAGCGAGGTGCCAGAATACTATATACGATTTACCAGGTATCCTGCTCATCCCACTCCTCCACAAAGCCCTGCCAGAGCGAGGAAGACATCGGAATACCATATTCTACACGCTTTCCTTCCCCTCCCACATCTCCAGGGAAGCCCCACCAGAGCGAGGAGGGCATCGGAACACCATACTATCTACAAAGTTTCGTGCACCACCCATTCCTCCAAGGAGGCCCCGCCTGAGAGGGGAGGGCATCGGAACACCATACTATCTACCAGGATTCGCGCCCCTCTCGCCACTCCAGTGAGGCCCCGCCAGAGCGAGGAGGATGTCGGAAGACCATACTGTCTACAAGGCTTCCTGCCCCTCCCACCCCTCCAAGGAGGCCCCGCCAGAGGGAGCAAGGGTTCGGAATGCATAGTCTTTGCATACAAGGTTTCATGCCCCTCCCCCTCCTCCAACAAGGCCCCGCCAGAGCCAGGATGGCGTCGGAATACAATTGCAATGTTTCCTGCCCCTCCCTCGCTCCGGCATGACAATATGTCAACGTCATGGACATCTGTTTTTTCGTACTGCTTTTTTGTGCCCCGTTGATCCCGCTCACCCTGTGACATCCGTATGTGGGGAACTCCCGCAGCATGATTTGTCGGTACAGTTGCGGTCTGCGTCGTCGTCGTATTCTTCGTATTCGTCGTCGTCGTCGTCGTCGTCGTCGTCGTCGTCGTCGTTTGCGTCGTCGCCAGTCGTTGCTGACCGCTGGCGTCGTCGCAGTGCGGGCCGCGCGGTCGCGCAGTCTCTGCCTTCAGGGCGGCGTCGCAGGCCCTGCCCAGCGACCCCAGGGCGCTGGAGCCCAGCCTGTACTCCAGGCCGGCCCAGTCCTGGCAGCGTGCGGAGCGCTGACGACTGCGACGACGGTGGCGAGGAGGGTGACCTCGACGGTTCGAAGACAACTCCTGGGAGGTCTTCGTGAGAACGATGAGGGGCCACTATGCCGGATTGGCCTGACCTGAGCCCAGGATCAAGCCAGATTGCAAGGGTTGAATCTGGATTCGGCATGTTTTCGACCACGGACACACCAGCACCGGTGCTTAACTTAGCCTCTCAGGACTTGCATCCTAACGACGGCGACGAAGGCGGCGACGACGGCGGGGGATGACGGCCAGAGGGAGGGACGGCGGGAGCGGCAGGCAGGTACCACTCGGGGAGCACAAGAAATCCCAACAGGCCCTTGCGCCCGAGTTGCTCAGGGAGTTTCCCCTACCAGTCCCCCTGCTTCTCCTTCGGGGATTCGTGTTATCAATGTTCCCTACCAGCTATCACCCCCCAAGGCGACCGGCAGCCAACCAGGACCAATGCGACCCTCCCCCGTCCCTCTATCAATAAAAACCATGCGAAGCGGAGTTTGGGGCAGAATCTTGGGTCATGCTCGTGGGTCCCGCGAGCACTTTGTATGGCTTTTATTTACAGGGGCGGCGGGGGCGGGGTGCCCTCATATTGCCTGCCTTGCGAACGGCCACCATCCCTGTTAAAAACAAAACACCATGCATTTCGCGGCTAAATCTGGATCATGCGCGGCCACCCCGCCATCACTGTCCATGGGTGTTTGACAAGGACCGCGGGGGTGCTGGCATATTGCCAAATGTGTGCAGTTCCACCAAACACCATGATGGCCTCCCCGCCGCGACCGCGCACTGGTCCCCAACAAGGATGGAAGGGGTCCGACACGTTTCCCGATGTGTGCTGCCACGTGAGCAGGCACACCTGACACACTCTGCGCGTGCCCTAGACGTGGCGCGCCTGGTGCGGTTGGACCATGCGGCACACATGGCGCACGTGGAATACGTGGCGCATTTGCCGCGCGAGGCGTGCCTGGCACGCTTGAGCCCCAGGGGTGCATGGCGCACTTGGAGCGCCTGGCACGCGTGGAGCAACTCATCCCATCGCGCACATGCGGTCTGTTTTGGTTATCAGAAGCTGCCAAACCATAGGGGACCGCTGACCATGCTGAGGCCCGGGTGCTACTTATGTGTTGGGAGAGCTGGTGGGAGTGAGCGAGGCAGCGTGCGGGCGGGGAAGGTGTCTTGACCCCTCTCTACACCCCTGGGAACGCGGCTTGTCAGAACATCCCAAATGGGCTCGGCGAGAAGGCCACATGTTGGCCCCCCCCCGGCCCCCCGAGGGGGGTGAGGAAGGGGGGGGGGGGGGGGGGGGGGGGGGGGGGGACTCAAAATATGGTGCTATTTAACGACTGGGGTTTCTTTAGTTTTTCCGTGCAACAAAGCAGACGTATGCGATCTGGTTGAGAAGAGAAACTGTTCTCACACACAACGACAACCAGTGCGAACATACGCGTTCAAGTTGCGAAGGATCAGTGATACCTACATCGCAGATGCTGGGCGCTCGCGAGTAATATTTGCGTTGGAGGGCAGCAGGGCCTGGTCTACTGATTCGTTCGCCGTTACTGCATGTTTCATGCGGGGCGCGAAATGAAAAGGTGCCTCTGCTAAAAGAAATTGGGAAAACTGGGCCAGCATATCATGCTCTGCAAAAGTATGCGACTGGTCACCATGGCATTTCGATAAGAAGCCAATGAATAGTTTTGCCAACTTCGCGGCCGTGGCAATACACAGAGCATGTCGTTGAGTTTGCCACATTACGTTTCTGTAAAAGGCCTTCAGCTGCTTGTGGAATACTTCGTTGCGAGTCGTTCCAAATATCACATCATAGTTTGCGTTGTTGGCGACGTATTTGCAAAAGTTCTGAATGGACCCCAGCTCCCGCGCCGTCGTCGCGTGTTCTAAGCTGCTAAGCACTGTGGCATTCTTCGATGTTTTGCGTTGCGTCATGTCGGGGTGCGTTGCGCAAATCGCTGCCAAGTCCTGAACGAAGTCGGACATGAGGTCGTACGGCTTCTCCACGTATCTGCTGCTGTTTCGGATGCGATCGTGCAAGCGCCTCGCATCTGACGGCCTCATAGCAGCGATTGCGGTCGCCAGTTTGGAAGGTTCCGCGCGGCCATCACTACACTGGAAATAACGAGATCTGCCGAATCCCCCGAGGCGAAGTTTAGCAATGCATCTACGCACGCAGGAAGAGAACACCGTCGTCCTCTCGTTGGACGCCTGCTCGACCTTGAGGGTAATGTGCAGCAGGTCTTTGCTGACGCACTTTAGGTTGGGGAACGTGGCGCGCAACTGGCTGCACTGATCCAAAGTCGAAGGGAAACCGGAGCAAACCATCTGCACCTTCTCCGCGTCCTCCCTGCGCACTGCATTCCGAAGAGCGCGCACCTGCTGGACGGGGTCCTCCGACTTGGAACCGAAAATCTCGAGTATGCGGTCGTTGCACTGGACAGTAATGAGAACGCGCAATGGAGACCGATCATGCCCTGCGACTGCATCTTGCTTCTGTCCGTGCGGAACTTGGCACAGCACAGACATTAAAGACTTGTAAAATCCGTCCACGCCTAGAACGCGGACGTCGCATGCTGCGCGGCACCGTTCCACGGCGCGCCGAACACTGATGTGGTTGGCAACCTTCTCGTTTAAAGGGCATCCCAAAATGGAATGCTCCCAACGCTTCCCCGTTTGGAGCGCCCCAAACACGGGTGCAGTCAAACAGTGCGGTGTGTTGTTAACAAGGGGCATCCTAAAAAGGGATGCCCTCAACGCAGCGATGATTGAGGACATCTCAAACAAGAATGCCTTCAAACAGTGCGGGGTGATGTTGATAAGGCATCCCAAAAAGGGATGCCCTCAACACAAGGATAACCTTCAGCAAGCTCCTCTTGGGTTCTTTTGGTTCCTCACCGATCCCCTTCATATCTCTATGGGCTTCCTGTTGGCTCCGTCTCGACGAATCCCTTTTGTAACAAGTTTTCAAATGATTTCCTTTCGTGGTGGATAATAATACGATTTACCGTTGTAGAGGATTACAAATGGATTCCTTTTGTAACGAATTACATATTAATTCCATTGTGGGTGATTTCCAAAGGGATTCCTTTGGTGGCGGAATACAAAGGGGTTCCTTATGTGGCCGATTACAATTTGATTTCTTTTGTGACGAATTACAAATCAATTCCCTTTGTGGCGAATTACAAAAGGATTCCTTTTGTGGGGGATTACACATTGATTCCTTTTGTGGGGGATTACAAATTGATTTCTTTTGTGGCGGATTACAAATTGATTCTCTTTGTGGAAGATTACACATTATCCCTTTGTTGCGGATTACATAAGGATTCCTTTTGTGGGGGATTACAAATTGATTTCTTTTGTGGGGGATGACAAATTGATTCCTTTTGTGTCGGATTACAAATTGATTTCCTTTTGTGGAGGATTCCTATGAGGAAACCAAGGATAGAAATAAAACAAATCAATGAAAAGTGTGAGGAGTATTTTGTTTTCAATGTTTTTGGTGTCGGAGGCAAAGAAAAAATATGAAAACACATGGTTTCCAGCACCCAGAGCTCCAAAACACTGTGTTTTACCATGTGTTTGTATTTCCCAATGCGGAAAACAATATAAAACACAGCGTTTTTATCCACGAATGCTGAAAAACGCTGTGTTTTACAATGCTTTCGGCATCGGGAAATGCAAAAACATTGTAAAACATAGTGTTTTGAAGCTCTGGGTGCTGGAAACTATGTGTTTTCATATTTTTTCTTTACCTCAGACACCAAAAACATTGAAAACACAATACTTTTCATACTTTTCATTGATTTTTATTTTTTTTTCTATCTCTGGTTTCCTCCTAAGAATCCTCCACAAAGGAAATCAATTTGTAATCCGCCACACAAGGAATCAATTTGTAATCCGCTACAAAAGGAATCAATTTGTATTTCCCCACAAAAGGAATCCCTGTGTAATCCGCAACAAAGGGAATTGATTTGTAATCCTCCACAAAGGGAATCAATTTGTAATCCACCACAAAAGGAATCAATTTGTAATCCTTCATAGAAGAAATCAATTTGTAATCCGCCACAAAAGGAAACTCTCACCACCCAACGCCATCGCAAGAATAAGAAATTACAGATGTAAGCAAAGCGAAAGAAATAACACCGAAAAACCAAAAACAGCACATCGTTAAATAGAACCATATTTTGACCTTACAGGGGGGGGGGGGGGGCAAATTGAGCACAGCCCGTCTTTTGATCGATCTTCTCCAAGATGGCCCAAGAGGCTCCCAAGGGTGCCCCAAGACGGCCTCACGGAGTGCCCAGGAAGGCACCAAGAGGCCCCCACGAGGCTCCCAAGAAGCCCCCAAGAGGCTCCCAAGAACCCCCGAGGAGTCCCCAAGAGGCTCCTCCTCCTCCTCCTCCTCCTCCGCCTCCGCCTCCTCCACATTATCATCCTCCTCCTCCTCCTCCTGCTCCTGCTCCTCCTCATCCTCCTGCTCCTCCTCTTCCTACCCTCTACAATTTCACATTATTCTCAGCCGCTTGAAGCGACAAGTTATCATGCTCCAGCGCCTCGACCAAACCAACCAAACCAGCCAGCCATCAAGACCGGCCACGCCCAGGCCAGACTAAGCAGATCAACGAGACCAGCCACACCGACAAGACCAAAACCTGCCCTGCAACACAAACATAACATGCAAAGACATCGACTCTGTGAGACCAACCAGACTCAGAAAGTCAAGCCAGACAAGCCAGCCCAGCCAACCAACACCATACCAACCAGACAAATCATCCACTTGGACCAACCAACCTCATACCAGACCAGGCAGATCGACCAGACTAACAACATCAACCAGACCAAAACTGCATTCGAAGATACGCAGTGCAACAGCAAAAAACTGCAACGCACACAGGTCAGCAAGACCAGCAAGTCAAACCATCAAAATAGACCAACCATACCAATCACACCAGTCATACCAACATTGCACTGCAAACAAACCTGCAATGTCCAGACCACAGCCGCATGGCAAAAACGGCAATGCAATAAAGGCTGTTTTGATGTGGACGTGGTTGGCGCTACGCTGCACGCCTCTCACCTCCACGGGCCTCCTCAAACCACATTCGGCTCGCAGGCGGAATCAGAAACTTCAGCTCTAGCAGCGGAACCTGCTCATCCGCCACCTCCTCCTCGTCCTCCTCCTCCTCCTCGTCCTCCTCCTCCTCCTCCTCCTCCTCCTCCTCATCCTCCAATACACACATCTCCATTGTCGCCAATTGCGCACAACACGATGGGGTTCTGTTTGGAGGTCCAGGTCCCATATGACACGCGTCGGCGAATACAGATAAAACGCAGCGCAATGGGAAAGGATTGGTGGGAGGGGTTGGACGCCAGACAAGGCACGAGCGCAATGAGCTTGCCTCTTTCTCTCTCTACTCTCTCTCCTGATCATCCCTCCTTCTCCTCCCGCCACCTCATCCCTCCTCCTTGCTCCCCCCTGCCTCCCCTTCCTCCTTTGCCCCCCTCTCGCGCAGACGACTGGAGCAGACTTCGGGCACCCTCCCGCCCATTCCCGATCCCCCCGCCCCCTCCCACGCGCCCCGTCGGACGAGGCACCGCTGGCTGGGCGCGCACCGCGGCCGCCGTCTGCCGCGCGGCAGCCCCCGCCGCCGAGGTGGGCCACCACCCTCCGCGGACTCCCCTCTCCCGATATCCATGCGCCGCCGTGGTGCCCCCCCACCCCTATGGACCCCCTCCCCTTTCCCGATCTCAAACCGTGAGGAATCGCGAGACTCCAACGCGAGAGGTGGAATCCCAGCACACCGGGTGAGACCCCGACGGGTACGCACATCAGGACGTGTGAGATCCCAACGAAGCTTCTCCGAGCTTGCCAGGACAGGAGCTCGTCACTGTGAGATCCCAAGGGGTGAGCTCACTTCACCAGGCCAGATGAGATCCCCCCTCCCGTCCTGCATGGCGCGCGGAGCGCGTCAGGGGCCGCGCCGGGGGCGCCGCCCAGGGGGGGGGGCCAGGCGCCGATCCCAGAAATCCGCACGGACCGCCGAAGCTTCATGCTGTGGCGTTTTTTTTGCTTTTTTTGTTTCCCTCCTTCTTCGACAGGATGAGTCAGGATGAGATCCCCACCGGATGACGAGGCGCCCAACTGGCGCCCCGATGCGCGCGCAGCCCCGCGGCGGCCGTCCTTCGCGGGCCCTCCCGCCGCCACGGTGGCCTCGAGGCGCGGGAGCGCCGACGCGCGCCGGGCCGTCACTGCGGGTACGTCGCCGCTGTAGTCGGCGGTCGTCGTCGTCATCGCCGTCGTTCGACATCGTGGCGGTCGTTCGACGTTGTCGCAATCGTCGTCGTCGTCATCGCCGCCGGCGCCGCCGCCGCCGCCGTCGTCGTCGTCGTCGTCGTCGTCGTCGTCGTCGTCGTCGTCGTTGTCGTCTTCGTCCCCGTCTCCGTCGTATGGCATGGTCGTCGGTCGTCGTCGCCATCCGTCGTGATCGTCGTACGTCGACATGGAAAGAGGACCAGGAGCTCGGAGAGGAGAGGAAATGACTGAGGAGGAAAAAGAGGAAGAAACGTAAGGGGGGCAAGAGAAGCAGCGGGCAGGGGAGAGAGGGGGAGTGGTACGAGCAGGGGGGTGAGGGGGGTTGGAAGATCACTCGGAGCAGAATGAGGCGGAGAAGGAGGAGGAGGAAACGTAAAAGCAATACTCGAAGGAAGAAAGGCCAGGGAGGCGGATGAGTCGGAGTTGAGTGAGCAGAAGAAGCAGGAGAAGGATAATGAATATGAGCATAAGGTAGGAGGAGGGATGAACAGAGGCAGACATAGGGGAAGCGAAAGGAGAGGAGGTTCGAGGATTGAGAAGACAGGAGCCAAATCAGCAGCAAGCCCCCTTCTCCTCATCCTCCACATTTTCACATTCCTCCAGACCTTCTTCCCCCTTCCTGTCCCTCCTCCTCATCCGCCCCCCCGATCCTCCTCGTTAACCCCCTTTTCCTTCTCATCCTCATCCTCTCCTCCCTACCCTGCTACTCCTCCACCAGCCGTGTCTACCTGAGGGGCACCGATGGCTGCCGCCGAAGGCGTCCGCCTCACGGCGGCGCTTGGGCCTCCCGTCAAGTGAGCGCGAGCCGAGCACCTATTACAACGCGGTGAATGACTTTGGGCTGGCACTCGAAACTCGCAAGAGGAATGCAGGGGGGGGACGATGGGGTCCAGGTCCGCCGCCTGAGAATGTAGGGGCCTCTTCAGAAACGGTTCCGCCCCTCCCACGCTCAACAACCAAAACAACCCTCACCCCACGCCTTTTTGTTTCAGAACCAGGGGGCATCTTACATCCCCATTGCAGACGTGTTGTCGCCTTGGCTGCACGGAGCATGATGATTATGTGGTGAGCGCCCCGCCAACAAAGCATCGACAGCTCTTCTGGCCAATGGTAGTGGCACCCCTGAAACCCGAGTTTGAACAATCCCACCAGCCCTCTGGGCGCAGGTGGTCTAGGGCGTTTCCCTTTCCAACCTCCTGCCTTTCCCTGCTCGGGAGGTTTACCCCCCCCTTCCTGCGTTTGGACGGGGGGGGGGTCGGACCCATAGCAGCGTCCAAGATGGCGCAAGATGGCTCCAAGAGGGCCTCCGAGAGCGCAAGATGGCCTCCAAGATGGCCCAAGATAACGGTAGACGGGTCAAGATAGCCTCCGACACGCGTCCAAGAGGCCTCATGACGGCCCCAAGACTGTTTCAAATGCCCTCCGAGGCCCCCAAGGACCCCCCCCAAGAGGCCAAAATCCTTCAAAGGCCGAAGGAACAAACAAATGTTGTTCTGCCTTTTCGCTTTTACGCCCCCGAAGGGCTCTTGAGGCCTCAAGATGGCCCCGAAATGGCCCAAGACAGCCCCAAGAGGGGCCCAAGAGAGCCCCAAGACGGCCCCAAGAGCGCCCAAGAGCGCTCCAAGAGCGGGCCAAGAGGGTCCCAAGACAGCATGTTTGAGCCTCCGAGGGGGGACAAGAATTGAGCCCCCCCCCCCCTTCTTTAGCCGTAAGGACCAAGACGGCCCCAAGAGGCCTCCCAAACCCCCCCCAAAGAGCCCCAAGAGGGCTCCAAGACGCTCCAAGAGAGCCCCAATAGGGCCCCAAGAAGGCCCCAAAAGAGCCCCAAGAAGCCCCAAGAAGGCCCTAAGCGAACCGCAGGAGAGCCCCAAAAAAGAGCCCCAGGAGGCCCCAAGAGGGGCCCAAAAGAATCCCAAGAGAGCCCCAAGATGCCTCCAAGTTTCGGAGCGCACGCGAGCTTAAGACACAAATCAGTGCAACAGCCCTTACGAGTCATCGAAACACCCCTCACCCCTCATCGAAGCACCATCGTAGCTTGCACCGATTTCCATCTTAAACTTCAATGCGGGAGGCTATGTGTGATCCTTGTTTTCTCGACGACGGCTGCGCGACTGCATGCGCCCTGCCGCCCCTGATTCACCAACTCCCCTGCTGATCGTTTCTGGATGGGCTGGTGGGGATACGCGAAGCGTCACGAATTGCAAACAATGCGTGTCTAAATGGGGTGCGGGCGTGCGTCTGTCGCATTCCACCACGCGCCGCTCCAAAGTGGAACGTTTCACGCGCCCCGGCTGCATTATGCCTGCGGATGTTGCTGTGGAAATCGCGGCCGGTCGGTTCCACAACAATTTTGGGACCAACATAGATCTCTTGGAATGGCACGAGGTCGATATCGCCGCATGAGCCATCATCACATTATGCGAGTTTCGGGGCCGTTGGCCCCATGTTGGCGTCAACGCCATGGAACGCCGAGTTGGTAGCGTGCCAAATGCAGCTCGTATCTTCCATGGTCACAGGTATTGAATTCATGAGCGGAATCTTGATGTGGTAGTCGTAGTGTGAAGATGAAATGATGTTGGTACGCTTCCTCGCCGAACTCAGTGCCTCGATGTAGGCCTGGCCACCCACAAAAGGCGGACACCTTGCGCAAAGCTTGCACGACTCCGCCGGGCGGCTTTCCTCGCGGCACGAGCCACTGCAACGAATTGCTGGAATTGCCTTTGGGTGCGGCACGCTGGTGGAAGTCACGCAAAACCCTTGCAACTTGGGTGTATTCTTCTTTTTCCGTGTCTGAACGCAGACACCACACCACACCAATCGCCACGCCGAGCAATATCCATGCCTCTACGCCGATAGAAAAGTAACGGTGCAGGGATTGACCATGAGGTGATAAGCTGAGAACCCTATCCTTTGGAAATGTAGTCGACGTGCCGTTGCATCCCACAACTTATCCTTCTATCAGACAGGATAGATAAAGAAGGAACTATGGGAATGGAAGATGGGTCATAAAACGGACTTCGCTTCCGTCCGCCGCTACGACCCCACTTGGGGCGCACAGATTCGCGTGCACCTGGTATATGGGACTGCGCAGTCCTGAGCCAAGACAGCGTCGTATTATATAGCGTTCGCTATACAGCGCTTAAACCTGGCTCAAAGTCGGGAGGGGAGGGGCCGAACGCTACATTCTAGTCCTAACGAATTGGGTAAAGGGCAAGGAAGGATGATAATGATGTGTTTCACCAACCGCAATAGCACACAGTAACAAGGCAAAGGGAAACAACACTGAGTATTCGGGCTGGCCATCGCATATTGCCACGACCAGCCACATACGATTATGGGCAGTCACGGGAAAGACCGCATCCTTGCCCAAAAACAAGTCAGGGAGGACGTGCAGCCAGTGGACCAGACGTCAGAGCGTGCAGCACGTGAGGGGATATGACTGGGCGGTCACATCCCCTAAAAAACAAAGAGGGAATCATGCCCGAGTCCGGGCAGTCACAGTAGCAGCGAAACTATGTATACATATGCCCGTGGCCGGGCGAATATAACTAGTTGTAGGTATACACGCCCGTGTCCAGGCAAGGATAACTATTTGCATGTGTTTGCGTGGTCGTCCTCATTGGCGATCGCTGGCCCTGAACAGGGCGCCCTTATGTTGGTGCTGAGACGTTATTCCCCCGATAGGGTACGTACTTCTTCGATTCGTACTTGCAGGATCGATTGCCTTCCATCATTTGCAGCAGCAATGCGCGGTCGACACGCCCCGTGTCATACCTCGTGTAGCACACCATTGGACGCCATGAACTGCACCTGGGTCCATCATCTGACCTATCCAACTGATATGTCACAACAGGGCGCATTCGGTCGGTTTCTTCAAGTCCTTGCTTGACGAGGAAGCAGCCCTTTAGACTATGAGAGGCTGCCAAGTGTTTCAGCTGAGTAGCTGGGGCGTGCCTGCAAGCGACGTGGCTAGCAGCATGCACCGACCAAATGCACTACAATTTTTCTGTTGGGCGCGTGTCCGACCAGCACCGGCTGGCCCCTCGGATGCCGTATCAATTCACTTCGTCATCTTCGCCCCCGTTCAGGCGACGGCATCCTGAGTCACTATGAAGGTCCCTTTCTCCTGCCGGAGTCATGAGCTTATATATCATAGTATTCTGACATTGTTGCAGCTTGCGCGTGGCAGCGCCGAGTCTTCGCACTTAGAGATTCGCGGGTTCCCGCGCGCGCTGCAAGGATGCCGCGCGCACCATGAACCATACTTGGGTGATCAATGCATACGCCAAGATGTCCCGTAAACGGATGGACATGTCGGGTATTGCATTCGTGGCCTTTTCGTCCGACACGGCACCCCTAAGCCCTGGGTGCTGTATCGGGCGAAGCTGTTTGACGCTGCCACCCTAGCTCTCTTGCGCCCAACGTACCTTCTACAAGCTTGACGTACTTGTCAGTGGTGTCCTCCGTTCCTGCCAGGTTGGTGTCGCCAACGTGCTCGGCTGTCATAAGGTTTGGGCTTGTCTCACATTCGTCATTTTATGACTCGGGCTTCAGCCCAAAACCTCGCGTGATGTGAGCTTCAGTCAGAATGCCCTTGGGGCGTCTCTGGTGCCCGCGCCTGGTTCAAGGCACTGAAGACAGCGCTGTCAGTCGTAATAGGTCGAGACAGCGGGCAGCGCACGCAACAACGAGGCTTAACCAAGTGGAAGACTCAAGCATGCCACCCGCTCTTGCTCGCAAGTGGCCTCTGCCAACTCACGGCAAGCCAGACCCTTCAAGACAGCCTTGTCGACGTCCAAGGACGCCATGATCCCCCGTTTCGGGCACGCGGCTCCCTAACATTGCCCCTGACCGTCAGTCTTTTCTCCCTTCGCCCCTGCGAGTTCCTCCTGGCAGCCATCTCCACGGCCCTTCTCGCCTAGCGACTACCTTCGCGCCATGGCACCGCCCGCCTCCACGCGGAGAGAAAAGCCCAGCCCGCGAGGCGAAGAGCGCATTCATATTCGCGTCTTTGTGGATGACCTGTCTCTCTCCTCCTCCTCCTCCTCCTCCTCCTCCTGCTCCTCCTCCTCCGCCATCCTGCTTCCGCCATCTTCCTCCCCCTCAATCCATCCATGTTCAACCCCCGCCATCCTAATCCTCCTCCTGCGCCCTCCTCTCTCAGCCACCCACCCCAGTCAATCATCCGTCCCAATTACCGTTCCTCCTGCCTACTCCTCTTCTGTTTCCTCCTCCTTCTGCTCCTCCCCCTCCTCCTCCAACTCCTCCTCCCTGCATCTATTTGTTCGGAATCAGGGGGGGTAGCGCCGGACTGCTGTGACCCCGCGCGCCAGCCGCTCCCCGCCGAACACCCAATACAGAAGGCGTGCCTTCGCGCTTCGCGCTTCGCACTCCGCGGTTCCTGGGTCATACCTTCGCGCGTCGCGCTTCCCTGGGTCACCTATCTTTGAGCATCTCGCCTCGCGACGCGCGACGCGCAGCATCTTCGCGCCCTCGTGCCCGCGGGCCGCCCTCCTGGAGAAGGGCAGTCGCTCTGGCCCAGACCGCGATGCTCGGGTGCCTGAGGCTTCGTGACTGAGGCTCCGCGCCGCGCGAGGCGCGGTGATCTTCGCGCCCTCGCGGCTCTCGCGTGGCCCCCCTTGGGACGAACACCTCTCGGGCCCAGGCTGCGAGGCGCGGCTACCCTCGCGCCCATGCGGGCGACCCAGGTGGGTCAAAGCGGGGTGAAATGGCACTGCCCACAGCGGCGCCCGTGAGATGCCCCCTGTCAGGACCATCGGAACCCTCCCCCCCTTCTCACCTTCGCCAGATATATGCAGAGAGCCCCTCACACCATCAGCATGACAAGCCAAGGCAACATTCGCAAACCAGACCTGAGCCACGCTCGTATCGGACATGGGGAAGGCGTTCGATACCAAGAGTCCGCCACTTGGGTGGCAAACAACAAAACATACATGCCACTGACGAGGACTCGGGGAAAAACTGCTACAGCACAACACGGCCTGCACATCGATGAACACCTCATCGTCGAGCTTAGGCTGCTTCCACCCGGTGCCCTCCACTAACACTGTCTGGCGGGGTCGCAGCAAATGGAGAGGCGCGCACTCGTTTGAGGCGCATCTGGACACGTAGGCGAGCGAAGCAAGGCGGAACAAGGTGGAAGGTGGGAGCAGGAACTGAATGGTAGCGAAGGTCGTGCTCAACTCCTGGAAGGGGCAGGGAGGCAAGGCGCGAGGGCACCCCACAAGGTTGCTTACGAGATGCAGGGCGAAGAAAAGGCAAGACGTGGAAAGACAACTTGGACAGTGATACTTCCAGTCTGGGTCATTATAGCTCGTAACACAGTGGTAATGGGCATTCCATGTTGCAACCCAGAAGCATTACTGCGCCGTCTCACTAGTTTCCTGCATGAGAAATGGTACTTAGGCTTGCCACGGCCACGACTTCTAGCGTGCCAGCCCATATGACCAACCCCAACTGATCAGCCACCGTGCCCTTGAGGCACGAATTGGAGTGTCATTCGGTCATTGGCCTCATCCACAGAGCCTCAGCCCCCAATCCGAAGGATCCTTTCCAGGGGCACGGATCCCAAATCCCTAAATCTCTAGGCGCTTCCCGCGTGCCCCCCGGGGCCTTGTCGCATGACTTCGTCGGGCCCAGAGAGGGCCCCAGGGCGAGCTAAGAGCGCCCCAAGAGGCCCCCCAAAGACAGTCGAAGGAGGCCTCGAATCGCCAAATCCAAGACGCACAATAAACCTTTAAGATGGCTGAAGAGGCGCCCTAAACGGCACAAGAGAGACCCAAGAGGCCTCCAAAGGAGGCCTCAACAGGCAACAATCGCCCAACTCCCTTTCGGAAACGTACATTTATTAGCATGTACGACTTCACAGGCTCACAGCGTTCAAGACTGCCCAAATGGCCTTCAGGATCGCCCCAAGACGGCCCAACAGGCCCCCACGAGGACCCCAAGATGGGCCAAGAGGCGCCCCAGACGGCCCAAGAGAGCCCCAAAACGGACCCAACAAGATGCCAAGAGAGGAAGCCCAAACCGACAATTCGAGCTTTCCGCCCCAAGATACCCCTTAAGGCCGAAGCCTCTCACGATGTCCCAACGAACATCCAATATGCATATGACCTACAACTCAAGCACGGTGGCAGAATGGGCCAACAACACGATCAAATATCCGGTGCCATTTCTGAAAGGTTCCGACATGACAACACATGATGCTATGAACAACGCGTACATACAATAGACCCGACGGGGTATCACATCTATCGCTGACGGAGCACATCTCCTGGCCCTGCCATATGTACGGATAAATCAACGTAGCCCCCTCACAACAACAACCAAAGCAACCACAGCATCAACAATCAAAACAACATGAACAAAAAAAAGCAACAACAACAACAACACCGACAACAACAACGGAAAGACAGTATAAACAACAATAACAACAACAACACGAGTTCAATGGAATCGCGACTTACAACTACCTGAGCAGATCTTGCAAACGATTGCACTTGATGTGTGCTAGGTGGCACATGGTACCTGCTGCCAGGGGGGGCGTACTTGCAGCTAGCGAAGCGAAATTGATTGAGCGTTGCTACAACGAAGCCTGTCGGAATAGGTGAGTAGTTTCCTGGCCATCCCCTCTCCAGGAATCGACGTGACACATGGGGCATGTGGCATTCATTCGCACCTGTCCGCGAGCCCCTGTCATGGCGCATAACAGCAAATACCATGTATCAACTAGGGAACTGAGATGCGCGGAAAATCTTGAAACGCACCGTCCTTGATCACGGACCCATCACCGAAGAGGTCGTCCTCGAAACAACAATGGCAAATATTAGCTTACAATACATTCTCAATTGGCCCTTCCCCATTGCACTTCAACATCTCCCTGATGCCACTTACCCAACTTGTCCCATTTACCATGTTCGCTCTGCGCGTTCCTTGGCGACGAAGGACAGCAGCTCGATCTCAAAGATTAGGGTGGCATCCTTGCCGCAGCGATATTTTACAATCAGTGTCTGCTACATTGTATTAGCATGCGCAAGGGCTGCGTAGCACAGCACACGGCAAGCGGCCTTAAAACCAACGAGAGAGCGTGATCCACCGCCGCTTTACTGTGGAAAATTGCCAACCTTTTCCTCCGGAACCCGGGGGTCTCCCCCCCCCCCCGTTCCGAAAATCGCCCCCCTGCCGGAACCCCCCCCCCCCCCCCCCCCTCCCTCTCTCCCGGCAAAACCCCCCCCCTCCCCTAACCCCCCCCCTCCCCCTCGAAAACCGGGGGGGGTCACTACCGGTTCGAACCCCTCCCCCCCCCCCCTCCGGATCCGGAAAACCGGGGGGGGTCACTACCGGTTGGACCCCCCCCCCCTCGAAAACCGGAGGGGGATCACTACCGGTTCGACCCCCCTCCCACGCACCGCCAGCAAACGACTCCCGGTCCCTACCACCGCTCGCATCACATCCCCCACTGTTGTTCCCAGCACCACTGTCCTCACCACCACTGTCCCCACTGGTTCCACCACCGTCCCTATTGTCCCCACCAATGCCCCCACCACTGTCGCACTGTCCCCACTGTTCCCACAACTGTTCCCACCACGGTTCCACTCTCCCCACTGTCTCCACGGACCCAACCACTGCCTATCCCCACTGTCCCCACTGTCCCACTGACTCCTCCGCTGTCCCACTGAGCTGTCCCACTGTTTCCACCACTGTCCCCACTGTCCCCACCACTGTCCCCACTGTACCTCTGTCCCATTGTCCCACCGCCGTCCTCGCCACCGCCTTTACCAGTGTCCCCACCACCATTGTACCCTCCACTGTCCCAGTGTTTCCACCTCATTCCCACTGTCCCCACACCACTGTCCCCACCACCACCGTTCCCACCACTGTCCACTGTCCCCCCTGTTCCCACCATTGTCCCCACCACTGTCCCCACCACTACCGTCCCCACCACTGTCCCACTGTCCCCCCGCTGTCCCCACCACTGTCCCGCTGTCCCCTCACCACTGTCCCCACCAACACCGTCCCCACCACTGTCCGCACCCCCACTCGGTTTTCGAGGGGGGGGGGGGGGTTCGAACCGGTAGTGACCCCCCCCCTTTTCATGATGAGCTGGGGGGGGGGGGGAGGGGTTCGAACCGGTAGTGACCCCCCCCGGTTTTCTGGAGGGGGGGGGGGGGGAGGGGTTCGAACCGGTAGTGACCCCCCCCGGTTTTCCGCCAGCAGCGGTAGAACACGCTCTTTCAAACCAACAAACATACTTGATTGTCACTCAGGGCCTTCAGATGTGCGTGGTCAAAGCAAAAATTAGCATTGCTTTCGACAGTGTAAATGTATGTATACACACGAACATCGCAAACCCATGGAAGATAGCTGCAAGAAGAAGAAGACTACGGCGGCGACAACAACCACGACAACTTACGACGACGACATCCGCGTATGAATTTTGCGCGTGTAGTTGTTCAGCCCGAGGCTCCATAAGTTCTGACCGCCTTTGCGGGCTGAATGTTTCGCACCCGATCTATCATCCATGGTCCCTGGGACCGAAAAAAGGCCCTCGAAAGAGCCAACATCTGGAAAAACGCCGCAACTGAAAAAGCAGCACCGTCGGAAATCTGGGGACGACGGCAACGACCGGCCACGACGACGGACGACGGACGACGATGACAACGACGACAGCGGCGGCGTCGTCCTCTGGGATCTTGGGCGGCTGGCCTGTGGCCCCGTAGGCGAACTCTGGGGAAATCGTGAACGTGGCGAGCTCGCCCTTCTTCATCGTGGCGACGCCCTGCCATTAGGCCGCTCGGAGCAGGATGGGTGGGGGGGCGACGTCGTGGTTGGATGTCTTGGACTGTGCTGGGCATCAGCCAAAGGCGGCCTCACGACGCGAAGTAACGAAAAACATTACTCCAGATTTCGTAATAAAGGGAGGGGGGTCTCATTTCGGGGGGGGGTCTCTTCCAGGCTATCTTGGAGGGCCTGGGGGGGTCTGGGGACGATGTTTTGGAGGGTTCTCCCACGGGGGAGGTCTGAAATAAATGGCTTGTCTTGGAGGGTCCAGACCCCCTCCCTTTTATGACGAAATCTGGAGTACACGGTGAAGCAAACACAAGGCCAACTAAACCGTTGACAAATGCCTGGGCAGCGCAGTGCGGGAGGAAATGCCCGAGCGGGAAGCACGCACGCGAGAGAGCCATTCCTGGCTGGCTCAAGCGGCGCGTCTCCGGATACCTTGGTGGCCGACGTACCGAGGGTGAGGATGGGCATGGGGCGAAGGAGGAGGAGGAGGAGGAGGAGGAGGAGGAGGAGGAGGAGGAGGAGGGAGGAGGGAGGAAAGGGGGGAGACAGAAAGAGAGAGACAAGTGGCGGGGAGGAGGAGGAGGAGGCAGACTGGGCGCGCTCGCGCCACATCTGACATCAGATCCCTCCCTCCCATCCCTGACCACTGCGCGGATTTGAATCTCCATCTGCGGGCGCGAGTCATCGCCAATCCGGAATCCCCCCCCCAAAGGGAAAATTCGTGCGATGAGCAATCGGAAGCGGCGAGATGCAATTATAGGACGAGACGGAGGAGGATGAGGAGGAGGAGGAGGAGGACGAGGAAGGAGCGGAGGAATTTTAACACCCGTGCGGGCGCACACGGACGAGCGCCAACGGTCTCGGCACGCCCGCTCGCGCCGCGCCGAGCAGGCTGTGGGCCGTCGGCCTCCGCCCATGCCGCCTCGGCCGCTCCTCGGCCGCCTGGCCGTCTGAGGGCCGTTGCCGGGCCCGAGGGCATCCTCGCTGGTCTTTGCCCTGCGCCCGCCGAAGCTGGACTCACCCTGACTCGGCCTCCCCCTCCAGGCCGCAGGCAGTCTCGTGCTCGACCCGCCTGGAGCTAGAGCTCGAGGAGCAGCCTGATCGACGGCTTCGCGCCCTCCTCGGACCTGCGCCCTGCCAGCGCGCGCCCCTTATCCTCAGTCGCTGCGTCCAGGCGCACGCTTGGCCCGGGGGCGGGGGCGGCCTTTTCCTGCGCTGCTCGCGCCGCATCGTGGCCGCCGCCCGCTCCGGCTGGGCGGCTGGCCGCCCTGTGGGCGCGGGCGCAGCGCCCCGCCGCCAGGCTGCAGGCGGCGCTTGCCCTGCGCGGCCGCTGCGCGCTCGCGCAGGGCGGCTGGCGGCCTTGCCGTTGGCCGCCAGCCGCCCTGCAAGTCGGTTGGCCGCCTCTGCGCTGGCTGGCGGGTCGCCCTCCTGCCGTCCTCGCCTCCGTCGCTGCCGTCTGTCCGGGCTGGGGCTCGCGGCCCGCCCAGCGTAGCCTCTGCCATCTGCCTGCGCCTGGCTGTTTGGCTGTTTCCTCTGAATCTGAACTGGCGATCACTCTCCTCGCGGGGCCGCTGTTGATCCAGGCCGGGCGGCAGATGTCTTCGGCTGCTCTGCGATGGCTCTGGAGGCGGGCTGGGCCAGGCGTGTCGCCGAAAAAGGCGCCGGTAGGGGCGACGCGGAGCCCGAACGCTGCCTGCCAAGTCCGCCAACCTTGATTTCCAACCCCCTGCGTCCAGCTGCCATCCAGCGGCGGCAATCTGGTTATCCAGGTGGTTCCGCTCTAGCCCGGCTACCTCGCGCTCTGGATCCTGGTTGGCGTCGCCGCGGTACCTCTTCATCCGGGGGTCCAACACGTCGGCGTCCTTGGCCTGCTGCGCGTGTTTGCCCCCCTGCTGAGCTGAACCACGTCGACCGCCATCTGCAGCGCCTGGGACGCGTCAACATTCGGCTCTGGCCCTGCTGGGATGGCGCCCATGTCGCGGGCACTGGCTGCCCCTTCTTCGCCTGGCGCCTCACGTTGAGGGTCCGTCGGGTCGTCGTCCAGGTTCTCTGGCGCCCAGGCTCGGCGCCCCCCCGTCGTGGTGGGCAGTGGCCCCCTGTCGCTGCTGGAGATGCTGTGCATCTTGAGGTAGCCCCTCCTGCCCTGGAAGCCGCGTGCACCCTGGCGGCCAAGTGCCTCAATCCAAGAAGAGCCCGAAGCGCCCCCTGCGCGCGCTCTTCCACATGTCCTCGCTGAAGCCATCGATCTGCTGGGGCCCCTGTGCGGTCAGCGCCTGCGCCTGGTCTGCGCTGCTCTCCCTCCCTGCCAGGGGTCGCGGCGGACAATGCCCCATCCAGTCGTCCATGTCGCCCCAGACCTCCTGGCCCACCACGTTCATCCACTGCTCAAAGCACCCTACCAGGTAGCCGGCCAGCCTCCAGCTTGCCTGGGCAGCTGACTGTGGGTGCCTGTGGGGGTGATGTAAGGGGGGGGGGGGGGGGCGCGTTTGCCGCCTTTGGCACCTCGACCTCGCGCTCCAAGCCGTCGGAAATAGATCACTCCATTGGTGCTTGGCCTTAGCGTCTCGAGTTTTTGCTGGCCGCGTCCTCCTGCTCTGCGGCTCCGCCATGTGCTGCTGCATATTGCGTCCGGTCTGCGGTTCTGGGTGGTGGCCGCCCCTGCATGTTCTCGACCGCTCGCCTGGCAGAGGCTGTGGGGGCGCGGCGCTCTGGAGCAAGCTCGCGCGCAACTCCTGCTACTACCCCGCTGCCGCGGTCGCCCAGGTAGCTCGTCGCGCTGCAGACTTCGCACCAGAGCCAGCCTCGAAGGCACTGCTTCTCGCGCGTCTCGTGAACATGCCTGGTGTCTATCATGGTCGCCATGAAATCGCGCGCCCTTTGCCGCGCTGGTCCGCGCGCAGGCCCTCGTGCCGCGTGCATGTCCCTGTCTCCGCCGGCCCGACCTCGACGCCCTCCCTTTTGTCTGGCCCACTGCGGCCGCGGACGCACCGCCGGCGAAGGAACAACCTCCGGAGGTCATGACCATGCTGTTCTCCATGGGCTTGGGCTGCCTGCGGTTCCCTCCTGGGGGCCTTCTTCGCTTTGAGCGGCGTGGTCGGGCCCTCAACGGCAGCTGTCGCGCTGATGCCTAGCAATATGTCCTGGGCAGCCACCGGGTCTAGCTGCTGGGTCTAGCGCTCCGTTTTCTGCGCCCCGGCTGGCGCACTTGTCTGCCATCTGGTTGCCTATGAGACCCACCATGTCGGCCCCCCCCATCGCTCGAGCTCCGTTGGGTGCACTATCACGTGGCTGGGGATGCGGTGGCCCAAAGTCGTGTCGACGCTGTCCCGCAGCTGCTGCTTGGCCAGGGGCCAGAGGTCATAGTTGGTGCCCCTGCATTCCAGGTCCAATGGGTATTGGATCTGCATCAGCGCGTCGAGGGTCACTTGCAGTCGTTGACGATAATTGAGGCCACTGCTCGTGGCTGCTGCGGTGTACCCGATGGCCTTGCTCAAGGCCGTCAGATCCGCCCACGGCACTGTGCGCGGGGCCCCGCGGTGCTCGTCAATCCTGCAGGCCACTGCTGCCCGCGCACAGCGCCTGAGACGTGGAGCCCGCGACGTGACGCTCCCCCAGAGCCTTCGGCGAAGACGATATCTGCGCTGACCTGGCGCGCATCCCGGGCCGCTGCCTGCGCCTCCGAACTGGCGTGGGAAATCTGGCTGGCCTTCGCTGCGCCCTCGTCGGGGTCGGCCTCGCAGGGCCATGCTGCCGGGGGGGTATCTCGGAGCCAGCGGCGAATGTCCTCCTGCCGCTCGATCGCGCCCTCCGCTTTTCAGCAAGGTCGGCGTCGCCGCTGTGGCCGAACTGTTCAATGGCTGGGCACTCGTAGTAGCGTATCTCTTGGGGCTCTTGGGGCAGTCCGCGCCTGGCGCAGATCTCTTCTCCCTCCGGGCAATGTGAAGCTGCCCTGCGCCTATCTCTGGCCCAGATGCCTGCGACCGCTATGAACTCTAGCATGGCCGCCTCCGCGCGCTGCCCTCTGCGCCGTCGCGTGCGTAGGTGCCGCTAGAGTTGGTGGAGATCTCCTCCTGCCTCAAGGCCCGCTCCACGACGATGCGCTGCCGCTTGCTGCCGCAATTTTTCCTGGGCGCTGTCCTGGACCTCTTGCGGTGGCGCCCCAGAGCATGGGATGTCATCTGGCCCGTAGGCCAACTCGCCACCTGCAGGGCTGACCCAGCTGCACAGGCGCACCGGTTGCCAGCCTAGGCCCAGCGCAGCAGCCTGCCGTGCGTCCTCCAGGCTTCGGTTGGCGCGGCGCCGCAGGCTGACGGGCCCCGCATTTGCTTGCAGCGGGCGCCCGCTGCGTGCACCTTTGCTGATCCTTTAGCGACTGCGCTATCCAAGTCCTTCAGCCTTGCGATCCTCTGCTTAGCTTTGGCTGGCCGTGCCGAATGCGTTGGGCGCGAGAGCTCCCATCCCGTGCCCGCGCCGACGCCCGGGGCGCGGGCCGCGCCTGGCAGCATGCGCGGCGTGCCCAACTAGCGAAGTTGCTGGCCATCTCTTCCTGCAGCTCCGCCCCCTTTGCAATCGGCGGTGAGGAGCAACTCCACGAATGCGTTGATTCCCAGCGCTCCCATGGCACGTGGTTCCGGAGCTCGCCACCAATCAGCGCCCTGGCCAGCGTTGCGCCCTAGGTGCTGAGTGATTGGCCCGACGACCTGCTTGTTAAGGGGCCCAGGGCGCGGTCCTGGTTGAGGACTGTTTTGCGGATCTCCACCGAGGCTGTTTGGATGGACGGAGCCTTCGGAGCATACTTCCTTTCACATGCCTCCTTCCGTAAGTCGACCAGCCGCTCCGGGCACGTGACGATTTGGATTTCGTGCTCGAAGATGTCCTCCAGGTGGCTGCGCCCTGCTGCTTTTGTGTGCGCGTGAGCCATCTGCGCGCTTCCTGCCGTCGCGTAGTGGACCCAATGGATGTATGCCTTCTTTGCCGTCTTGGTCCAGG